TTAAGTTACAGAAGATCTACTGTATCACCATAGCAAAACTAGTAAGAACTTACATTGTTGTTCTGGAATAAATTTTGCTTCTAAAAATCTTTATGAATCACTGAAAATCCACCATTAGTATCATTAAATGACTCCAGCCAAAAACCAGTCAGAGCTTTGCAACTGCCCAGCTCACCTGTTTCCACATTTAAGGCTCCCAGAATTGTGAGATAAACTCTCCTAGTTTCTTTTTAAATTTTGATTTGCTAAAATGGTTCAAGTAATTATGAAATTAATTTTTTAAATCACTTAGAGGTGTTCCTAGACCAGTCCCTGATTTTTGTGGTTTCCTCCTACTATCAGGGACCACCTGAGTCAGGAATTGGTCCTTCGGGTTCTGTTCTTCCTAAGGTGAGGTGGGGTCCAGATTGGTAGAGTTTTAAAAGGTCTCTTTTAGATGTGCAAAAAAAAAGGCAGTGAGATTCTTGTATTCCTTACAGTCTTATATTCCTTGGTCAATGGTCAATTTATACAAATTGTCTAGCCTAATGTCACAGCCCTTTAGTCCTATTAAACAGAGGTGCATGTGTTCTCAGAACCATTCCCCTATGAGGGCGGGACCGTTCCAGTTGAGATGTACCCCCGCAACAGCAGTGACCACTATTGCATGCGCTACCTGGTTCTGAACATGTGTTCATTCCACCGGCAGACTTTCTGAGCTGCTTCTGTAATGCTTAGGCTGGCCTCATATAAGTGGCTTTGGTTTCAAATATTCATATCCTTTCCAGCTTAATACAAAGTTCAAGGTCAGGCTCTGAAGAGCTCAATGTATTAGTTACAGTCTCCTTAAAAGTTCTCTAACCCAGTTGTCAGTCTACTTAAATATTGTGTGATGAGAACATGGACCCGATTGAACCATTAAAACCCATTGCCCTCCTGAAGAGGACATAACATTGAAAGGGCCATGTGAAAGGGCTCTTTCATGGTCATTGTTCAGGTAAGGCCAGAGCTGGGGAGTGTTGCTCGGTCTGGGTAATGTACCACATTAATGTATCCCTGGTCAAGGAGTTCTGCATTGTTTAATTATTTCAACCGTACAGTATTTGGACAAGTTTTACAAATATTAGGGTTTTTCTCTTAGCGCCATGAAAGTTTCCATGTAAGACACTTCTGTCCTTTTTCAATGTAAGATGGTGTTGTAGTTGAGGCTCCCATTTTTGAGCCAGACCTCCCCAGCACCGGGTTTACACTGTGGGCAGCTGTATTACAAAAGAAAGCCAGCTGGCTTTTGTACAGGGTTTGAGGATTCAATTTTGCCCAATTCCTCAGGATGCATCCAAGGGTGACACTCTGGGCACGGAGCCTTGGTTCCCCATCTGTAATAGTTCAAAGGAGAGAGAGTGGTAAACATCACTCATTTCTCCTTTCCTAGCTCCTAATCCTAGCCCCATGGGAGTCCTGTTTGGGGTCCCCAATCAGTGGCCCTCCAGTTTAAGGAATGAATTATCCTTTCCTTATAACCCATGTGCATTAGATCTCGCCTTCTCTATCCTCATCAGAGAGCTATCCAAGCCTTAAGCTCCTACTTTACCTGGGTTGGAAGGTTTCATAAAATTTGGCTAAAATCTGTTTTTCTTTTCTGTTCTTTTCTTTTGTCCCTTCATTCTCTGAAGGTTAAACACTAGCATCTGGCTGCTCCTATCGGTTCTTGCAGGGGAGGACACAGACTTGCTATCCACAAGGAATGTATAAAAGCTGGAATGAGGGAGTAAGTTAGAAAGAGTGTTTGGAAGCACACAGGTGGCATGCTTTCTGTACCAGGAGACCCTCAAACTGCTCCAGCACCAGCTCCCACAGAGAACCACCTGGTTCGGGAGATTAGAGAGCTCTCATGTGCTGTCACCCTGTGCCAAGCCTAGGCCACAGTCAGTCGTCACTTTGAAGCAGACAGGAGGCCTGTGGGGCTGGTGCACCATGACTTCTATGTCACCTACCATGCAGCCTGTCCCAGTCAGCTCTGCACACAGCTGCAGCTCAGGGTGCAGTCTCTAGCGGAGCAGGGTCCTTGTCCCACAGGGATTCTAGCAGTGGGGGGTAAGAAAAAGCCTACCTGTATGTGCCCCTTTCACTCAAGCAGAGATTTGGTGAGATTATATGTGGGCAGGGTCACTGTGCCAGACCTTGGGGGAAGTCAGCTTGTGTTGCGGAGTAGGCCACTCTGTCCAGGGACGAGTTGCTTTCTGGAGCCACCCAGGGCTGCTGTCTTTGCCTGGCCTCTTTTCCTCCAGCCCTGGTCAGCCACAGGCCCACTCCTGACCTTACCTGGACTGCTCAGCTTGTTGCTGCCACCTGTTAGGGTCTGTGGACTGCACATTTGAGCCCTATGGGAGGGTAGAGAATCAGGACCCACCTTTTGCTGGCAGAGATTGGCCTGCAGCACCAGATTGGGTCCAGGCACTTTTGAGTATTGGCAATCAAGCCAATGACGAGTGAGGAACACTGACGCTGGACTACCCTGTCTCAGTGGCAACACGAGACCTGCTCTATCACACGATCTCCACTGGCTGGCTCCCAGGCACCGTTCAAGCAAATGTCCAAACGCTCAACTGACCTCCTGGCTGTGCTACACCTGGCTTACTGCACCATGGAGTGGGTGCAGCCCGACAACCTCCCCTTGCGGTAGGCTGATGCCCAGAACTCCAAGACGCTGGGAACCTTTGGGAAGGGTGCGGAGGACTTCAACAGTTTCCTGCAGTCACATGCAAAAAGGAGGAAAGAGTAGGAAATACACTTAGCTGCAGATCGATCAGAAGTGAGTACAGGCCGTGCAAAGAAGCTTTAGTGCGAGTCCGCTAGTGGAGAGCTGCGTGCGCTTTCTCACCAGACCACTGCAATAGGTATCTGCGTTACGGCACCAGAGATGGTACGGTGAATTCTAGTCGTCGTTCCTTAGTCTTCTTGGGAAAAAGAATTCATCCAAGAGACACAACAGGCATCAAAGCATAGGAAAATTTAAGAGAAAGTTAAAAATACAGAGGTTCAGCAAAGTATAGGAAAATTGTACACTTAATACAACTTCAAACACAGAACTCAACATCTAGGACTAGTAGGAACGATTCAGTGGCATGTGATAAAGCTGTTAAAAATTTGGCAGCCGTCCTAAAACTTTATTGCAATGGGGTAAAATGATAAACTCACTATACTTTTCCATCTTATTTTAAAATAAAGAAAATTATTAGTAATTTTTATTGGTAATTTTAATTAGTAATTAAAAAATATATTCAGATGACCAGTAATGTGATAACCTGACGAGTTTATATTTTTGGTAATAAACTGAATGACTAATGAAACAAAGTATTGTAAATATGCATATAAAAAAGAAATGTAAATATCCTATCTCTCAGCATGTCAGATAAACATTTTCTGTTAAAATGTAAGTAGGTCAGATGTAAAATGTGTTGCCAGGAACTTCATTACTTAAATAAGATCTCTTATTTTAAACACTCATAGTTGCGATTTCTCAGTAAAAAACATGTATTTTATTGTAATATACAATAGAACTTACAAATAATTATTCAAGTGTTAATCCTTACATTTTTGTATTTTGTTTTAAAATGTTTACTATTTTAAATTTTGTTTTGACAGGGACTATTCCTGGAAAATATAGGTGTTGTGAGATTTGAACGACTTCTTTCTATGATAACAGAAATGGACTTTACAGGACCAGTTTCAGATGAAAACATCACAGTGACTGATACAACCTTTAGTGACATTCCAGTACGTTTGTACTTGCCAAAGAGGAAGTCAGAGAGCAAGAGACGAGCTGTCATTTTCATTCATGGAGGTGCCTATATTGTAGGAAGTTATAGTAAGTGGATTGTATATATGTTCTGAAAAGTAATAGTAAGTAGATTGTATATGCATCTACATATATTACTTGTAATTCAAATATATTGTATATTTGCAATTGGAAAACATTTGATGATCTAAGAAAATATATATTTTTGTGCATATGTGTGAGTACCTTGGAGGAAAGGTACACACATCAATTATGTTTCATGTGAGAGTACATAAAAAAGTATTGCTATAGAGTTAATAAAGCTCCTGTTCACAAATATATAGCTTTATTCTACACAAAATATGCTTAAATATGTCTCTGTAATCAGTGGATAGCTTCAGACAAGTTCCCTCGGTTACATCATTGTCTTAGTCTCATTAGGATGCCTTTGAAAAAAGAGCCAATCAAAACAGTGGCTTATGTGGAGATCTATTGGACTATTTAAACTCCTATCACAGAAATCAGTTCTAAAAGGATTTGGGAGAACTGAAAAGGTATAACCTTGTCCTAAACAACATAGGACAATCACAAGGATTTATTATGAAGTTTTTTAAAAAAATCATTTTATTGGAGACTATTAAAGCTCTTATACCAATACATGCATCAATTGTATCAAACACATTTTTACATATGTTGCCCTCATCATTTTCAAAACATTTACTTTCTAAGCCCTTGGTATCACCATCTATTTTTTCCTTCCCTCCTACACCCTCCCTCACGAATCCTTGATAATTTAGAAATCATTATTATTTTCATATCTTACACTGACCTTTGTTTCCCTTCACCCACGTTTCTGTTGTTCGCCCCCTGGGAGTGGGGAGAGGTGGGTATACGTTGATCATTTTGATCGGTTTTCCCCTACCTCCCCTCACCTTATGAAGAAATTTTAAGAAAGCTGAAGACCGCATTAGGGGGGAAAGTCAAGGAAGATTTCGCTGAGATTTTTTTTTTTTCCAGTCATGACAAGGCATCTGCTCACACCTGGAAAATAACAAGGGCTGGGAACCCTTAACCCCCGCTGCGCTTCTGTTGTTCCTTCAGACAACTGATTGTTCTGAGAACCCAAAGAACAGTTAAAAGAAGCACAATTTTGAGGACCTTGAGGGTGTTCAAACAGCCATTTTCATATGATGTAAATAAAATAAGTGCAGAATTCTTTGGGGGAAGGATTAAAGAGCTGGAAACACCACCTTCAGATGTGTCTAGACTTAGATGGAGAATATGTTGAGAAGCCAAAGCCCCACATTTTGATTTTTGTTTAAGAAATATTCTTGCACTTTGATAGCAAAACTTTTAGACTCACCCTTGTATATGTTTCTTAATACATTGCTAGTCAAAGAAAAAAGAAGTCAAAATCTTAACAGAAAACTTTAATACTAAATAAGCTCTTATTAAGTGGCAGTGTAGAATAGAAAGGTTAAGTAGTAAATGTGAAATATAAGTTTATAATTCCCCAGGGACCTGATCTCAGGCTCAGAAAAACTAATGTTAGCAAGATTCATTCAATGTTGAATTAGAAACAATGTTATTTACAATCACCAAGAGGCAAACATATGTTGAAATTATAAATGTTGAAGCGATACTGTTGATGTTGAGGCTGAGTTCCATGCATAATTTTGACTAAAGGAAAATATAAAATAAGGCCATTTAATCCATTCTCCTCCCAGTCTTCCTTACTCATTGTCCAGCTTTTCGATACATATGAAGAGATCGAGAATGCCTGGCTTGGGGTAGGCACACCTTAACGCTCAGAGTGACAGCTTGCTCTTGAACAGTTTAAGAACTCTTGCTGCAGATTTGTTCACTGCAATAAGTTTACCCAATCATTATTTCTAATTTATATTCCTTCCTATTGTTGCTACTCTGCAATCACCTCTCCCGTTTGTACATTCTTTCTGATTTCATGGCACTTTCTGTAAACCTCATCATATGATTTCTTACTGTATTCTTCAGTCAGATCCATCAACTAATGAAAAGAAAGTTTTATGGATGGGTGGTGTAGTGGGTTGGGGCTTTCTACTTCCATAAAAATTTACAATCTTGGAAACCCACAGGCGTAATTTTCCTCTGTCTGTAGGGCTCTTCACGTCAGAATCGATTGGAGGGCAGTGAGTTTGATTTTTTTTTCTTATATCTAAAATTTCTCACTTTATATGCCTCTTTCTCATACACATAAAAAGTGACCTGTTTTTGTATAAACTGCTAGCTTATTTCTCTGAGCTTTCTTTGCCTTGTTCTTTGTCTTTGAATATATATTTTTTCTGAATTGACATTCTCCACTTGAGAACTGTCATGAGTTCTTTATCTTGGACTCCCTAACAGAGTAACTTCTGGATACTGAATGTCCAATTAATTCATTGCATTAAAAAAGTGAGACCATAAATATTAAAAGGCTGATAATTTGGGCATAGATTTCTGGTAGGCATATTATTGCAGGATTTATTTGACCACAACTTATATTTAATCCAGCAGTCACATTTTATGTATAGTTAATTTCTACAAAGTACTAAAGTGATCCTAATATCTTGTTCTCTGATTTAGGGGAG